CTTCAGGCTTGGCGATGGGAAAGAGAAATTGATGAGAGAAATCGTCCACTTTCTGATGAAGAATTGGATGCTATGTTCCCAGAAGGGTATAAGGTACGGTGAATGTGAATTAGGTGGTATTTAGGACACAGATTTTGTTTGTTTGTTTATTTATTTATTTAGAGACAGAGTCTTACTCTGTCACCCTGGGTAGAGTGAGTGCCATGGCATCATAGCTCCCAGCAACCTCAAACTCTTCAGCTCGAGTGATCCCCTTGCCGATTCTTTGAAATTTTACTGGCTTTGCTTAAGATTTTATCAGGTGACAGGGCTTTGTAGTTTTTACACATTTAAGTCATTTTTGTAGAGTCTTAGACTCAAAGATTTGTTTTTATAAAAGTTTATGGCAGTATTTTATTACTAAAATACAATCTTTTGTATGTTACTTATGTGCACCATACAAGGTTTTTTTTGTTTGTTTTGTTTTTGAGATAGAGTCTTGCTCTGTCTCTTGGGCCACAGAAGCAGATCAGGCCACTCCTGGCCTCAATCAATCCTCTCATCTCGGTCTCCCAAAGTGTTAGAATTGCAGGCATGAGCCACCACACCTGACCCAAGTTTATTTCTTTCATAAACAGTTGTATGAGATAACTATTTGTTCTAATAGAGCTGTTTTTGGAAGTGCTGGCTCAGATTTTATAATTTACAAACTTCTAATAATTTGACATAATTAACTTAATGGCATGTTTATAGATTAATGTTTGGAAATGATTAGAATTTTAGAAGCCTACCTCATGTATTTCCTAAGTTTCTTAATGTACTTAATTAGCAGGTGAGAAATACATATTTTGAACTTCTAATTAAGATAGAAAAGAGGGATCAGTGTTAATTCTTGTTGCCAACCAAATAGAAAGCTTCCTAGCTAACAAACTATAAAATATTTTAAGTGCATTTGTTATTCTTCATGATGTTCTTTAATTTTATAAAGTCAAAAGACAATTCTAAACTGTCTTACAACTGTATTTATTAGGTCCTTCCTCCTCCAGCTGGTTATGTTCCTATTCGAACTCCAGCTCGAAAGCTGACAGCTACACCCACACCTTTGGGTGGTATGACTGGTTTCCACATGCAAACTGAAGATAGAACTATGAAAAGTGTTAATGACCAGCCTTCTGGAAATCTTCCATTTTTAAAACCTGATGATATCCAGTACTTTGATAAATTATTGGTAAGTGATACTAGCAGAAATTATTACATCTTATTTCTGTATTATAAATTGTAATGTTTCAGCCTACCTTTAAATTGTTTTCTTTTTACTATATAGGTTGATGTTGATGAATCAACACTTAGTCCAGAAGAACAGAAAGAGAGAAAAATAATGAAGTTGCTTTTAAAAATTAAGAATGGAACACCACCAATGAGAAAGGTTAAGTACTGTTGGTTAAACCATATTCATTTTATTTTTATGTTTAAGAATTTATAATTACTCTCTTCATTTTTATCCAAGGGCATAGCATGAGAGAAATACAGGCGATCCCCATTGAGTGAGATAGGTTCTGTAAGGTTTGATCTGTAGTTGAATTTATGTAAGTTGGAACAGATGCTTTTACCCATTACCCATAAAAGCCTCTCGTTCTAAGTGCATATCGTACCTAAGTCAGATGCTTGTAACTTGAGGACTTATCCTGTATATGGAATGTGAATGATTTAATTTGTTGTTATCTACCTATTTATTAATACATACATATATCCATACATATGAGGTCTTACTCTGTAGCCTAGGCTAGAGTGCTGTGGCATCTGCCTAGCTCACAGCAACTTCGAACTCCTGAGTTCAAGTGATCTTCCTGCTTCAACCTGCCAAGTAGCTGGGACTACAGGCACCTGCCACCATGCCCAGCTAACTTTCTATTTTTAGTAGAAATGAGTTCTCTTGCTCATTTTAATGCTTTTTTAATGAAAGAATTTTATACTATAATGAATGTTGACAGTTGAAATTCTCCTTTTTGTTTATACACAGCCTTTGAAACATGCTTAAGGTGTGAAGGTAGAATTATGTGAGGAATTGTCTTTACACTATATTTAGTTTAAAGGTGGAACATGCTTGAAGGGGAAGGCGTTTATGTATGCTTGCATTGTTTACATCTCAGCTTTGTTTTACTAAATTACCCTCTTAGAATCAACAGAAAATGCTGATTTTTTTTTTCCATAGGAGCTCAAATTTTGGAGTAATTTTAATGGAAATGAGCTCATGCTGTCTATGTAAAATATCTGTAAAAGTATACACTAAAATATTAAGTTATAGAAAATCTTTCTGAAGTGATTTGCTCACTCAAAATGCTTGATTATATAAAGAAGACACCCCTTTTACTCTCCTTTTTTCCCCAGGCTGCATTGCGTCAGATTACTGATAAAGCTCGAGAATTTGGAGCTGGTCCTTTGTTTAATCAGATTCTGCCTCTACTAATGTCTCCTACACTTGAGGATCAAGAGCGTCATTTACTTGTGAAAGTTATTGATAGAATACTGTACAAACTTGATGACTTAGTTCGGCCATATGTGCACAAGGTATTTTTATTTTTTAATATAAAAGGAATTCATGTCTTTTTTAAAGCAAGCTGGTTAAAAATTCTAAAGCAGTAGCTGATGCTATTCATTCATGGTAGAAAGAAACATTTATTTCCTTGCAAGATACTCATAGTTAACCAATGTTAAATTTACATATACTTAAAGACCTTGTTTTTACACAACCATACATGATATACATACAAATACAGATATAATAAGTCTAACTTTTTGTCATTTTTACCTCTTACTAAAAAATATTCATATTTTTCCCCTCCTTTTATTGATATTAATTAAGGAAGAGAACATATATGATTCTATACCATGCTATTTAGTGTTAAGAACCATTTTTTCATTGATGACCATTATGGTGCAAAATGTTTATAGGGGTGTGTGTCTGTGTATATATTTTTTTCCTGATGAATCCTATTTACCAAAATAATCGAATAATTATTAGCCTGTGTTGCTAACAATTCTCTCAAATTTTCTTCTTTATGTGGGGTTCGAAATTGTATGATCAAAGTTTTTAAATATTTTTTGTTGTCATTGATAGATAGTCTTAACTCCTGCCCTGGGCTAAAGAGCTGTGGTGCTGGCTAGCTCACAGCAACCTTAAACTCTTGAGATTGAGTGCTCCTTCTTCCTCAGCCTCCTGACTAGCTGGGGTACAAGCACCTGTAATAACATGGGACCTCACTCTTGCTCAGGCTGGTTTAAACAGTTTTTGTCTGTTGATTTACAAAATCCTGATAATTATAAATTTCTTGTATGTTGAATTCTGGTACATAAATGTTTTGTCAATAATTGTTGAGAAAATACAGCTCATCTCTTTTTTTTCTTTTTCAGATCCTTGTAGTCATTGAACCACTCTTGATTGATGAAGATTACTATGCTCGAGTGGAAGGCCGAGAGATTATTTCTAATTTAGCAAAGGTATTTACATTAAATTTCTAGAGAAAAAAGTTGTATCTGTTAACAGAACTATTTGATTATAGAAAGAAATGGTTGAAGATTAATATTGCCAACTCATGATTGTTTTTTTTTTTTTTTTCTTTTCTTTTTAGGCTGCTGGTCTGGCTACTATGATCTCTACCATGAGACCTGATATAGATAATATGGATGAATATGTCCGTAACACAACAGCTAGAGCTTTTGCT